TAATGATCATCATCAGCAATACGTCTTGCTGGCTTAATCCCAGCCATGATATCAGCTGCTGCTCTTTCAACAAAGTCATCTTCGTCTGCTCTTGGCACTACATCCGGAACATTAAAGCGCTCAAACGAAAGGAGTGCCTCAGGATCGCGAGGTGGCGCTGACGCAGCCGATCCTCCTTCCTCTGGTCTTCCGAAAGCTCTCTCAAATCTAGCAACACACTCAGGACTATGATTGGGGCGATCATTCTCACAAGCCGAACATCCAGGCGCGGGTCCTAACTCCAGAAACCTGGAATATGTGACGTAGACAGACCAAAAGGAGAAGGGCAAGGGCAGTGGATCAGGGACTTCAAAAGATGGATCTGCAGAACCAAGCTTGAGAAGGGATTGCTCGGCAGCATTCTTCAACGGAAACACTGGGTTACCTTCACGCACATACAGCTCTGCTTCCGGAACACTGAAAGGATCATCCCATGCTCCTGATTTGCGCTTCACCTTGGCGAGGTCAAGGACATATGTCACCATGCGATAAGAAAACCCCGGCTCATTACGCCAACCCGCAAACAAACCAGGCTTAGCATTGGGACTGAACTTATCCTCAGACTTGCTCCTATAAAAGACAAGCTGACCCAAAATCAGTTTCTTGACTGGGATATCGTCCGCACCCAAGCGGGCGACTCCGAAGTCCCGTCGTGAGAAAGAAGAATCTGCAGGGGCGGAATGCGAAAGCTTTAAGGCCATGGATCCGTACCTACATGCCACGGGCCAAAAATCTGGGCGGATTGCAAATCCGGCTTCCAAAAACGAAGATCGCACACCCTCCTGGAAACTCCTGATTTCACGTTCGTGCTGGGAACTGCGGGGAATTTGAAGTGATGGAGCTGGTATCCATCCAAGTATCTTTGCGGCAGATTCAAACTCATCAGCAGCGTCTGACACTAACGACACAGGCTGTGAGGAAACCATTCTTCCCATAAACCTACGTAATGAAGACACTCTTAAATCAGTAGATCTATCCTTGGCAGGATACGCAGCAAAGAGACCCGTGAACCGATCTCGAACACACAGCACAACCTACTCCTTGACATTAGAGTCATCAGGAGATCTGAAGACAAGGATGCGGTCAACGGCGATAGCTTCTCCAAACTCACGAGCATCCAGCGGATCTGGATTGCTTTCTGGATCACGAGGCTTTCTGCGAACATGCTTGGGCATATCATCACGCAACTTCTTCACTTGATCAGGCACCTTGGACTCGTCGGCGCCGGAGCAGCCGATCCATCCGGGGACGGAGATGCACCTTCAGCATCAACACGGGAAGAAGCACAAGCCAGTGAATCTGACACAAGTGGAAATCTGGCTCCAGTCAAACCAATCATTGTGGACTGAAAAAATGGTCAGGATCATAAACGGCGCACGCTACCAAGACTTTTCTGTCCCCAACCCAAGGCTGAGTGGAATGAACTACACCCTTCGCCGGAAGCTTAATGACTCCATTCTTGAAGGAAACCGACCATTCTTGAGGGATGGATCGGTAGGACAAGGTGTTCAACCATTGCTATCCTGAATCCAAATACCCTAGGCAAGAACCACCCAAGGAAATCGTTGAATTTTCAACTGGCGCATTGCGAAATTCACGATGGGGTTGAGTGCTTGCGTTGGAAAACACGGTCAACATAGTGAACACTTGATTCGGCAACTTGGCTTTAGCAAACTGAACAAGCACCTTGGTAGTCAAGGGAAACCGTGAAGTACTTTTCCAAAGTGCTTTAACTCCACTCCACCCCTGCAGAAGCATCCAGTCGAGAATGGGCTGAGCTCTTCTTCTTCTTCATGCCCATCATCAACACATGGACGAGGAGACGGGAACTTGTCAACCAAAATGAACAAACGCTTTACATCCTTCTAGCATTTGGAGACCTACCCGACTTCAGCAAAGACAAGGCAGCATTTGCTGCTGGAGGAAGCGGTTCTGCCGGAGGCACAGAATGAGACGACTCTTCATGCTCACTATCGCCTGACCTTTTGGCATTGGAAAAGCTCCAACCTCGGAAACAGCACCATGCGCAAAAGTCACCTTGCTGGTGAAGATCGGCACATGCTCCTCAATCCGTGCGGCATAAAACCTGTTCTCTTCAAAAAACACAATTTGCAGCTGGGATGGATCCTTGACGAAGAAAGGAAGTGAATCTGGCAACCACACAAAGGCTTTACCCGATGCGACATCCAGACCAGTGCTTCGGACTAGCGGACAATTATCAAAAATGTAGCGGTTAGCGAATTACATGTTGCCTGCGCGAAATCCAAAGGTATGAAATCCAGGTTGAGGACCGCCGCCCGTGTTAAACATCACAGGCTCTGAGGACCTATAGTCAAGAAGGAGGAATATGCATCCTTGGGAATACCCTGGTTGGACAACGCGCTTGCTGAACCCAAATGCCTACCTGCTGCAGCGTCGGCAGCCCATTCGATGCTGAATGAACTTTGAGCGGAGGCAGCTGGCGCGCAAAGACTGGATGCAGCTACCAAAGCCGCAACAGCTTTCGTCACGGAAGAGGATTTGGCCTTTGCAGTATCCTTCGGCCTTGGCTATGGGGGAGGAGGAGCCTTAGTCTTCTCTGCCTCCTGACTGTACTTGCAGTTGTCTCCACGCATACATCCAGAAGGCATCTTGAAGAAGATACAAGGAGTCTTAGCCTTCTCAGCATCAGTCATGGCTTTAGCTTTAGCTTTAGGCTTAGGTTTCGGTGTCGGCGCAGGTGCTCCGGGAGCTTCAGCCTTCGGAGGCGGCGGTAACGGTGGGGCCGTAGTATCGGGACCGGACTTCGCTGCAGCTGACGCTTTGCCTTTGGCTGGTTGAATCTCTGCTGCCGCAGCGTTGAGTCTCTGCTGCCGCAGCTCTAGCCTTTGAAGGCGTCGCACTTTGCAGCGATCTCATGACAGATTGCGCGTTACTGTCTTTTCTGTCCTGAAGCAAGATAACGTGACTTCTGTCCCACAGGAACGACCATTCGTGCCATCTAGAGTCACGGGCCGATTCCCGAATGTCTTCGATTGTGCGTTCCAGCTTGCGAACGTGTTTGACTCGGTGAAAGAGCCACTCACCTGTAAGCCAGTCATCGGGTCTTTGTTCGATGGGAATCTGGCTCAACACGATTCTCACCCTTTGAACAAAGTCCTTGAAATTCTATTCCCTGAGATTTCTACTTGGAAAAGTGTTGATGCAGTCAACACCGATCCCCGGACCCTATCCAAATCGAAGAACCTGGTGAGGAGGGCTAACATGGACCGGCCTTTTGGAGCTATACCTTGCTGGCCGCAACGTTCGACGTTCGACATAGGCAGTGACTTCATGCTCTAAGTCAGGAATTTGCTGCAAAGAACTCATTTCTCCGGCTATGAAAACGTCAAGACGCAGAAGAAGACCTGACTCCTCTAGATCCTCACGATCTAATTGAAAAGCTTCGGACAACCATCGATGCACTAAGTTTTCGCCTGATTTATCCAATTTCGCTATTTGAACCAACAGCGCGTTGCGCCACGTGCGAAAACCTGCTGCATTATCTTGAACAGGATCAAGCTTGAGGCACAGGAGTGCTCGATTGTCAACTATCTTCTTCTCAGATAAGTCCTCTTTTTGCGGGAATCCCGCCTTGATCCGTGCCATTAGGTTGCTCAAGACGAGAAGCTAATTGCTGCACCGCTTCAATGAGCTCATCTACTCTGGAGTCTGAAGCCGGGAAAGTGGGCTGAGGCACGGAATCCCCTGAAAAACACCATGTCCAGAAGCAGAAGCTACATTGATTGGAAGCAGGTTTTGGGGATTCAATGGCATCCGTGGCGCTAGGCGCAGCCTGCCGGAGCCGGTGGATTTCGCGGTCTTTAACCTGCGCTTCAATCTTTGCTTGGGACAATTGAAAGCCGGCTGCATTCAGCTCAGCTTCGGCTTCGGTAAGCTCGGCTCTGCACTGTTGCTCAAGAACCCTCCCAAGATCAATCAACTCCTGAGGCCTGGCTTCTGAAACCTGAAGCTCACGCCGAAGTTGCTCAACGGAACCGAAGCTTCCTGAAAGGTTGCGCACGTTCAGCAACGGCTTGAGCAGCTTGGTGCGCGGCAACACGTTAGGCTTCGATAACTTCTTGGGGTGAGGCACCTACATTCAGGACATTCTGAGTGTATGTGGCAGAAACTTGCGGAGCTGATTCTGAAGCTGACGCAGAAGCTTTGGGAATAGTCCTACGTGGACGAGCAGTTTGACGTCTTGTCAAAGGAGGGGACCTCTCTCTGATCATGTCCAGCTGCCTCTCTGAACTACTTGATGGAGTGTCAGAACCACTTGACTCCAATGAACCAACACGACCTGGAACAGCCATTGCGGACCTATGCGAAAGATCCATAACTGAACCGGCGGTAGGATCCGAATCAAGCTTGGGCAATGATATGGAACCAGAGGCGCTAACGCAGCCGAACAGGCCCAAGGAGATTGCAGATTACTCTTTCGAGCTTCAGATAAGTTAATAAACCAATAACCGGTGATCAACCAATAACACCAACAATGGTCGTGGCGCGTTAGCAGCCGAACAACCAGCAGATTGCGGATTGTAATGGAGGAGGAACTTAGTCCTGGCCCTCGATCCAGGCAACCAGGCGCTCTTCGGCTTCCAAGAATTGAAGCATATGAACGATGTCCTGGTAGTTCCTGGCGTTTTGGTAGACGAATATCTGTAGCTGTCTGCCCTGCCGCGATAAATTCGCGGCAGACGTCAGGATTGTCGTCTACCATACGCAGATCGCACAGAGCATTTGGAAACGCCTGTCTAGCTGTCCAATACTTACCGTGTCGGTCAGTCCTTTGTCTGGACACGATCCACAGATGAAATAGTTCCCCCGCGTTATCCTCAGTAGTGTTCCGCAACGTCGCCAAGCAAAACATTCCAATGTCAGTCGAAGTCACACCTATGCGTGGCAACAAGACAAGTAAAACGCCGAATTGGCGACACTTGTTGGACAACCTCACGAGCAGCTGCTGCACTTCCGGGACCAAAGTAGGTCGTTCGCACGAACTCCAACAAATCGCCCTCTTCCACGCGCAGCACTTCCTGCAATCCAGAAGCGATCCAGCGTATTGCGGCAATCGAGGAGTAAGACTCCTCGAGTGACCTCGTTGGTCTGGGGCCGAGGTAGCCCAATACGCTTGAGCGTGCCGGGGTTAACTGCGAACCCCTGGTTGAGCCACACGCTCGGAGGAGGCATAGCAGGTTCGGATGGGCCAACTTTACCCTTCTCTGATGCAGCCTCTGCTCCCTTGCCAGCAGTACTCGATCCTGAGTCCTTGGGAGGTGGACCCTCGGGCTCTGCAGGACGTCGAAGGTCTCGAACAGGTAGTGCAGGTGGAACGAGAGGAGCAGCTTTAGCACGTTCTTGATGCGGAGCGGATGAAGGGTATGCAGAAGAGCTCGATGCGGATGTAGCTGAGGTAGGTCCCGCCTTGGCTTTTGGCGGCAGATGAGGGGCAAGCCTCTCCTGCACTGGAGCCGTCAATTGACTGCCTTGAGGTCGAAGACGTTGAAAAGCTGCTGGAGGAACTGTAGCTTTTGCCGCCTTCGGCTGCGGAACTTCCTTCGCAACAGCCTTCGGTGGGGGAGACGGCAAAGGTGTCTTTTTGATCTTTGGCTGCGGAACTTCCTTCACCGCAGCCTCGGGCTGAGGCGATGGCAAAGATCTTTGGTCTTCGGAGTAGGAGTCAACGTAAGGGTAGGAGGCAATGGAGGCCTTGCAGATGAAGACGATGCAGCACCCGGTGCGGGTGTTTCCGGTGTCTCCTCTTCGACCTTGACGATTTCGTGCTCGGACTCGGAACTGGAATACTGCGGTGTCCAGTCTCGAGAGGTGTACAAGGGACGCGCCCACTGGAATGAGAGCGCTGTCTGTGATATCTGTGAACAGCAAAGCGTTCCGTATGTAAGCCTCTCCCTTCCTCTTCGCCGATTTGCCTGCTCTTATCCCACGCCTCCTGATAGGCGGTTCCTCTGTATCCTGTGGGTCCAAGTACTCTCCAAAACTTTTGGGTGGGATGTCCGACATGGGCACGAAGGACAACCCTGAAGCTTAGCAGAAGTCCTGAAGAAGTGCTCAGAGACTACACGGACCTGATAACCAGTTGAACGGATAATTCCCACTTGGTTCAAACAGAAAAGAACAAGAACAAGGTTCAAGTTGCTACCCACGGAAAACCCGAACACGAAGATCCCACACAAAAGAAGGGAAACACTTAAGCAAACCCTCACAACAGCAAAGCCACGAAGCTTAGCGAAGTGGCACTTTTGCATGTTGAGCCAAACATTCAAGTCATTGGCTTTCACAGTCTGAAGGTATACTACAGTGCTGCTATCTTAGCTTTACATGAGGAATAAGAACTCCGCGAATTTCTCAACTTGTAGGTGTTAGTTCTATTCTCAACCAATGCGCTGGGTTACACCGACAGTCAGTTTAGTGTTCTCACTGTGGTCTTTACATTCAGTGACTTCTGCCGCCCGAAAAATACCCAAGTCCGCGCTTCATCCCCGCAGAAGCAGCGGCTCTGGGTGAAAGTACTTGCAAGCAAAGGCCTAGAACGGAATTCTAGACACCGCGTCGTTGTTTGCGGAGCTTCTATGTATCAGTGGTGAAGGCTTTGCGCAGCTTCTGCCACTTTTGAAAGTGCTATGCCATGCTGATGCTTCCATTCAACAATTCCACACTCAGTAGGCACACTAACGTGCAGTGAGCGATCGCCATGACAAAAAACAATCAGAATAAGAGATAGGTAAACAGCTATGTTTATGTGACACAATGCGCATGGCAGTCAGCTACGTGGAATGACTCTCCAGGGTCTTGGCTGTATAGCTGCGATCCTCTTGGCGACCTTGGCAAGGAGCCACACAAAGAATTCTGACAAGAAAGGCCTTTCCGGGAAGATGGGCCTTCCAAATGTTAGCATATCCTGTGTCAAGCCAAGGCACAATAAATTTCGGCTTCTGCCAGCAATCGATGCGCCTTTGGAGAGATGCAGGAGACTGAACATATTGAGAAGAATCTTTTTTGGCCAACACGTTCTATGGTGTTAAGGCGCCTTCGGCCTGGGGAAATGGCTGAAGTGGGAGAGCAATGGCACCAGCGGTCTTTGCCTTCACTCATGCAACAGCATGGGGTCCCCACTCTACCCTCAACCTGGACTAGAGGCATCTGGAAACGAGCACCTTTGATTTTGAAAAAGCCCTTGCACCAACGAGCTTGCACCGTTACAGCAATCCAACTGTCGAGCAGCTTTTGGATTTGAAGGGTTCCGGTAAGCAACTCTGCGTGAATATGATACATACATGCAAACAAAACTGTTACATGTGGCTGCTGATCACGATAACTATAACCGTCCGCGGATGTGAATCTATGTCATGAGGAACCTCAGGATCCTCGAACGAAATAACTCATGATACATGGTGAAAAGCCTTCAGCCTTCATGTCAAGAAAGCGGTTTAGCTTCAACATTGCAATGAAATTCAAGCTGTCCCAAGGGAAAGAAACGCTTCGAACTGCTGAATCTACGCGGAACTGACCTCGACTGCGTCGCCAATGTCCATGGCTACGGAAGCATCATGGCAACAGAAACCACAATGTTGGTTCTTTTGCTGGGAGCCCTCGCCACAATGGCTGAACGCCAAAGGTAGACACCTCAACTTTTGACAGCTGCCGCCTGTCTCAAATCCACGTACTTCCAGAAAGTTTTGAAGACCGCCAAATGCACCGCAACACAAACCTCCCTGCCTTTGTACGCAGGCCAACACAAGTATGAAAGCTTCACATAATGAGTCTTCTTTCTCCGCTAGAGATCTGAAAATGAGGGCCAAGGCTGTCGAAGCAGCAACTTGAACATGAAGGCAATAGCAGATGAGACACGCAGTAACACGCTGACTGTTGGCATCCGTGCATCCCAATCTTGCGGAACTTGCGCCATTGCATTTGGTCAGCTGTATTGCTTGCTCCCGTCACGTTAGTTGTTTTGGCATGTATTCTGGACTTCTATGACTCTGAAGGCTCATTTCGACTGCAAAGCAAATGACAAGCGCGAGGAACCAAAATACACACTTTCACCACAACGCCTCCCTTTTTTCTCAGGCAATTGAGGAAAAATTCAGTCACCAGGTGAGACTATTGTGCGCCTAGTCTGAAATAGTAGTTTCCATTTTCTTTTCCATGATCCCAATATATCCCCTATATGTCCCCTATATAACCCCTATATAACCCCTATATATCCCCTATATATCCCCTATATAACCCTTATATAAACCCTATATAACCCCAATATAACCCCAATATTAGGAGGATGCTTTTTCAACTTTCCCGGGTTCCAGCCTGACAGAGCTGTAGAGCGCTAGTGCTCCATGCCCTGCTTCTCAGCAAAGGTCCTGCCACCATGGCAAAAATGAAATTATATAGGATTATAGGGTTTATATTGGGGTTATCTAGGGGTAATATGGGGATAATGGAAAAGAAAATGGAAACTACTCTAGTATATTGTTTCTATGGAAGATGCTTTTGCCAAGACAGTCAATTGGCCATGTGCCTTAGTCTGTTGAAGACCTAAACCTTCAGCTTCTCGGGGATGGCCGCCCTCCCCTTGGGGGCAATGTCCGAGATCATGTCCTTCAAGACCACAGGAAGAAAATGCAAGAAGGTTCCTGAATGGCCTTTCGAAGCCCCGCACTTCGAGAGTTACTTTCTCGACGCCCTTGTTCTGGATGAACTCCACACACCGCTTCTTGAGATCCTGCAGGCAAGAGCAAATTTGCTCTGATGCGAGCCTCTTCGAAGGGCCTCACGCCATCCACTTTCGTTGAGGTGGCTGATGATGTACCTGCAGTTGCAGATGGAAGGGAGGGTAGCTTTGCAGTGGACAGGGGCACTGCTTGAGTCGCTCCCTTTCGACGGTCGAGCTTCAGGTCAAGCATGTTCTGCTCCTTGGCATCTGGTTTTGCACCGTTTTATCACCTTCGGCCTTCAGCCTTCAGTCTTGGCCATGCTGAGGGCAAGTCCATGATCCTCCGTTGGAAGCATCAGCCTTTTTTCAGCCCTGCTCCGCAATTTAGCGAGGCTCTGCCTGTGCTCCTGTGCTTGAGCCCAAGCTGCAATTTGACGAAACCATCCCAAGCTTTGCTCTGCAGAATTGATTGGCAGAGTCGGAGCGATCTGACATGCGGACGGCATGGCATGCTGCATGCTGTCTTGCTGCTTTTTGCCTTCTCTTGGGTGAACCAAGGGCTAACTCAACGCTCCTTGAAGGGTCTTAAGCTAGGTCGGCCTGAATGTAATGTACCTGTACTTCCAAAGGATTCCGCTGGGTTTCCGGGTCTCCTATGCACACGCCGGCATTCACCAACACAAGACAACCGCAAGAGACGTGAAACCCTATGCAACTCGCGGAAAAGAGGCCCCACTTCACCAGAAGCACATGCTACCAAGTAGCCTTTCGGCTAGGTGCGGTGCTCTCCAGGTTCAGCATCTTCGTTTGTCAGATCTGCCCTGTCACCCAGCTTCCTCTCGGCGCAAGTTGCTTGAAAAAAGGCAGATGGTAGCATCGCATTCCAAGACGTGCGTCTCAAGACGGCAGCAGCCCTTCCTGCTCCAGACGGTAACAACAGGCACCCACTCTGCCCTCGGCAATGATGCTCGAAATGCTCGAATCCGTGAGATTGCAAACCCGCTCGGGCCACTTGCGTCCTGGTTTGCAGCTTTAGCAAATGCATCAATGCGGAGGTGGACTAGTGACGGGCCCTTTCCCCAATTACATCAGCTGCTGACCCTGAAAACCCAATAATACCATGCACACTGAACAAGCAACCACCAAAAACTAACCCTTAGCATTGAATCACGCTTCCACGGGGTTGGAGGGTAAAAGGCCCCGCTTGTTTTATTGCTCTCTGCTTTGTTTGGATTGTTTTTGCTGTGACCTGGCGCAGTCATCACACAATTGGGCAATCTACGGAGCTGTGAGAGTGATAGAATTTGGGGCGCAGGTAAGGGACATGATTAAGGCGTTAATCCGTTTCGGCAGTGAATTTGGGATGCAGGTAAGGGATTTCATCAATTCTGGCAGTGAATTTTTTGGGCTCTGTGAAACATCTGAGCCTTTCCCTGGCAAGGGATTTGATCAATTCTGACGGTGAATCTTTTGGGCCGTGAGAAAATTG